GCTTTTTAACATATGGGTCATTTTATTTTGGATTACTACAAAGTAAGTCTCCTTCATGTAATCATCACCAAATTAATCTTTTTAGCCGTTAAATCAGATTTGCAACATTGATTTTGTGAATCACTGGGGAAGATGGTGAATGCCATGTATTTTCTACTTTATAAGATAACTTGTGTGCTTTGAAACACAGCCATTAGTCACTACTTATGAACAATAAATGATGTTCACCAAGATTATGTAGCAGATACTAGCCACTACACGTGACACGATTAAATGTTGGAAGCCAAATTTAAACTCATCTGTTTGACTCTCAATTTTACGTTCATTGGGTAGCCAAATGGATAAGTCACATAAACTGGAGCTCATATGGATGAAATGAAAATGGGGTAGAAGATTCAGCTTGCTATATCTTTCTCTTTATCTATCCAGAGAAGGCTTTGCACAGATGTTATGCTCCTTAGGGGGGCTGCGTTTCTAAACAATTAGTCCGTACTATTCTGTATTTTGTATGCTATCTCACAGGCAAAAAGCAAGAAAAGTTATATTAAGTAGATAAAGCATCATAATTTGAACATATTATATATTCAGTGAAACAGTTTATTTTTTAGCATTTAAAAAAAATATTTTTATTTATTTTTGAGATTGAGAGAGAAAAGAGTACTAGTGAGGGAGGGGCAGAGAGAGAGAGGGAGACACAGAATCCTAAGCAGACTCCAGGCTCTAAGCTGTCAGCACAGAGTCCAAAGTAGGGCTTGAACTTGTGAACCTCAAGATCATGACCTGAGCTGAAGTTGGACGCTTAACCATTTGAGCCACCGAGGCACCCCTCAGTGAAACAGTTTTTAATTGCATAATACCCATTTTGAATACTTTTTTTTCAGTGTTGATAATATATGCTGGCTTTTAAGGAATAAGAAACTGATTGCCAGTACATGTTAAGTTCCTGTCTCCACCTGAAATTTGATTCCAAATGCCAACATGATGTCTTATATATCTTTATGTGTATTTGGTACTCAGTAAATACTTGCTAATTGATCCTTAGAGTGCTTATAATATTTTGTTGGGTAAACAGATACTTGTCTTTGGTGTATGGTTTTTAGAATCTTTGGTGAATCCTTATTTCTGTAAGTTTGATAGTATTCTGATTGGCATATGGATAAGTTGAAGAGTGTAGCAGGCAGAATTTAAGATGACTCCCATAAGCATCATCTCTTGGAATTCACACCTTTAATATTCTCCCCTTAAGGGTGGACAGGACCTATCAATAACTCTAAGTCAATGGAATATAGCAAGTTGATGAGATGTAATTCCCATGATTATGCTTTGTTATACAAGACTCCACCTTATCAGCAGACTTGCTCCAGAGATTATTCTTGCTGCACTAAGTAAGTGGCAATGTTAAGGAAGCATATACATGGTAAGGAACTATGGGTGGCTACTAGGAGGTGAGGGTAGTATCAGGAAGCTGAGGGCAGCCTATAGCTGGCCACCACCCAGAAAGCAGGTTGTCAGTCCTACTGATGCAAGAAAATCAATTTGCCAAGAACCTAAGTGAGCTCGGAAGTAAATTCTTCCCCAATATAGCCTCAGGATGACAAAGAACATAACCAAGCCAACCTCTTGATTTCAGCCTGTGAGACTCTGAGGAGCCAGCCTAGCCATGAGCCACATCCTGACCATTGGAAACTGTGAAATAATAAAATTGGATTCTTTTAAACTGGTAGATTTGTGATAATTTGTTACAAAGCAATAGAAAACTAATGTGGGAAAAATTATTTTGACAGGCTGAAGTTCCCCAGAGTAAATCAGTTCTTCCTTGCCCAGACAAGAGGAAGTTAATGTCTGTGGAAGACATTATAAGGTGAAATGGCAGTGGTGCTGAACAGAGGTGTAGATGGCCTCAGGTTCCTTAGGAAAGACAAGTATAGGATTCTCATTTTTACGTGAACAGCTGCAAGTAACTTCTCATTCCCTCTTCAAATACGTATTGGAAGCCTTCACACAATCATATATGAAATATGACATTGAGAACTAAATACAATTTCTGGAGTAATAGTCACAACACAAGTTAACTTTATATTTAAAGCTAACATGTTTTCACTGATTTCATCATGGGAACCAAAATTTCTTCTTACCAAGTGACTTAAGATCTGTAAAGACTATTGTCATTAAAAGTTCTATTAGGACAGACACTATCTCCACTTCTTTGCTACCATGGTCAAAAGTGATGCCTTTAAATTGGCAATTATTTTTTTCTAGGAGATGGAAGGAATGGAATAAGACTACGGCTGCAATTGATAAAAAATAACAGATCACTCCTGTTAGTCCATAGAAGCAGATATTTGGTATTTTTGTGATTTGGAGAGTGTTTTTATTGTTTCCTGTCCTCAAAAATGATCCTGAGTAGTCTTGTTTTTGACTTGTTCCACTGTGGTTAGATGTCTGTGGGAGTATTTATTTTCAATAGAAAAACATCATGGCTTAATTCTTAGAGCCAAGCCAACTCCTAGCTGAGAGCAGTCCATGATTATTTTTTTCTTTTTCAGCAACAAACAGCAAATATGCTTGTATATACCTCTTTGCACACCTCTATAAAAGCATCTCAAGAGTGGAACTCTGGGTCAAAGTGGATACACAAACTTAATTTTACTGAATACTGCATGATTGCCATTTAAAGATGGCTATGCTCATTTATAATCCCATCTGTAGTGATTGTGTATTCTTTGCCAGCACCTGATTTTATAATTTATAATCTATTTGTAAATTCTCCTTAACTGCTATAACGTTTCTTAGAAGTAAACTTATTTTTATTGTTGTTATCATTATTATTGCCATTATTGTCATTATTATTTTCCCCCAGTTCTTGTATTCTGAAGTATGAATTGTCTTAAATATTCCATTATAACAATACTCTAGCATTTTTTCCTTGCCTTCCCTTGCCTTCCCTTCCCTTTCCTCTTTCCTCTTTTCTGTTTTCTTTTCTTTTCTTTTCTTTTCTTTTCTTTTCTTTTCTTTTCTTTTCTTTTACCTTTTGACCTTCTTCTCTCATTTCTTTCATCTTCCCCTCTATCCCTCCCCCACCTCTGGCAACAATCTGTTCACTGTTATCTATGAACTCGTATTTCGTTTGTAATGTCTACATATAAGAGAAATTATATGGTATTTGTCTTTCTCTACATGACATATTTTACTTAGTATAATGTCCTCAAAGTCCAACCATGTTGGTTGCCACAAATCACAAACAAGATTTCATTCATTTTAATGGCTGAATAATATTCTGTTGTGTGTATATACCACAATTTCTTTACCCATTCATCTATCAATTGATGCTTAGATTGTTTCCATATCTTGGCTATTGTAAACAGTATTGCAATGAACATGGAGTGCATACATCTTGAGTTAATATTTTTGTGTTCTTCAAATAAATACCCAGAAGTAGAATTCCTGTATCTTGTGATAGTTCTGTTTTCAGTTTTTGCAGAAACTCTATACTGTTTTCCATAGTGACTACACCAATTACATTCCCACCAACAAAACACAAGTGTTCTCCTTTCTCCACATCCTCATCAACACTTGTTATTTATTGTCTTTTTGATAATAAAAATTATTATCCTTCTTATTGTTTCCCAAGTCCTTGTATTCTGAGTTATTAATTGTCTTAAATATTCTACTTTAATAATGTTTTAATTTTTAGTTAGAAAAGAATTGTATCAAGTTACAGATATTACTTGATTAAGTAAATTCAAAGAAACCCAAGTGTTAAAAAAATACCAATGAATACTATTTTAGACCATGATTTAGATAGAGCCTTGCAAACCACATAAATGAGTTAGAATGGTTTATTCAACTAGCTAAATAGAAAAAAATTTAATATTTTTTTTTCTGTATAAAAAGCAAACCTGGAGTACCTCTCAGTCAGTTAAGCGTCTGACTTCAGCTCAGGTCATGATCTCACAGTTCGTGAGTTCAAGCCCTGTGTTGGGCTCTGTGCTGGCAACTTAGAGCCTGGAGCCTGCTTTGGATTCTGTGTCTCCCTCTCTCTCTGCCCCTCCTCCGCTCACACTCTGTCTCAAAAATAAATAAACATTAAAAGAAAATTTTAAAGAAAAAACAAAGCTAAAACAGAAATTTGGGTTTCTGTTATAGACTGAATGGTTGTGTCCCTCCCAAATTCATTGGTTGAACCCCCAATCTCCAAAATGATGGCACTTGGAGGAGCACCTTTAAGAAGTACTTAGGCCATGAGGATGGAGCCCTCATGAATGGGGTTAATGCCTTCTAAAGAGACACCAGAGAGCTGGTGTCCTTTCTGCTCTTGGCCATGTGAGGATACAAGGAGAAGATGGCCATCTGCAAACCAGAAAGAGGGTCCTCACTGGACACCAAATCTTATGGCAACTTCATCAGACTTCTCAGCCACCAGCACAATGAGAAATAAATGTTTATTGCTCAAGCCACTCAGTCTATGATAATTTGTCACAGAAACCTAAACTAAAACAATTTTCTTTTGGAAAATAAAGAGAAATGTATATTTTTTATACCTATGTGCATTTTATTTTGTGTCCTAATTAAATGTACATACTAAGAAATAATTAAATATGATGACAACTGTTGTTACCTGACTTAAATTTACTAAACATTGGAGAAAAAATTGTATACAATTACACAAAAATGTCATTTAAATAATCACTTATTTTAATTATATCTCAGTTATGCACATATGTATTTAGTAACTAGTTTATGGTTTTGGCTGATATTTAGCAAGGTAACTAGAATTACTTAAATCTTACTAAATATGTTAAAAAACTGGATTTAGAACACATTAATGTAATAAAATTAGTATTAATATCAATGTACCCTATGAAATAACTTTAGATAGACTTTATTAAAATCATATTTTATACAATATAAGAAACCAACAAAGAGAAAAAACTGTAAGTACAGTGAATCTTAAATCCAGGTGTTAATTTCCTTTTGACAACTGGAATTGATGGTGATCTTCATGACCAGATGATTTCTATTGGTTCATCAAGAATAACATTATTTACTGTCAGATCAATATTTAATATCTAAAAAGAAAGTAAAATGATAATTATTATTTAATCAGAACAATGTTGGGTCCTTTTGTTTTTTTAACAAAGACTATTTCCATAAATAAATTTTCTGTAAGTAACATGATAGTCTTTGTTTCTTTTTTTTTTTTGATGAATTTTTTTTCCAGAGAGCTCACAACTATTTCACTAATAATCTCACCCAACCCACTCATTATTCAAATAAAAATAAATCTCAGATAGGTGGAATGGTTGTTAAAAGATTGTGAAAAACTAAAACTTAACCAGTCATCTTGATTTCTATTACTTTACTCTTTCTCCATATTCTGAAACATGGTATTATTTATAATTGCATTAGATAAATCTCTGTGCTTCCTGCTCTCAAATATGAGCCAGTCATCTACACACACAAATTAGATTAGAAATATGTTTTCTTTTGCATCAATCCCTAAAGATTTAGGATGCTGAATTTATCGCCAATAATTTCAATTCTGTTGTGTTACTTTCTTTCACTGGACAGAATCTCAATTAGACCACGTAGGGACTAATTATGGAGGTGTCTAAGCAGCTGTAGTCCATCACGTGTAATGTCTTTATGATATGATTTCATTAGACCTTACCATTGCTTTTTCTCCAATACACTCACATGACTTTCTGTGCCTTAACTCAGAAAGTTTAGATTCAATTATCAAATATGCAAAAGAAGAGGAAGAGAATCAACATTCCTTTACTGCCTACTGAATACCAGGTACTCTTATAGGGGCTTTGTAAAATATATTCTTTTCTAAAGCACAACATTCTGGGCAGAAGAATTTAAAAGGTAAAAGTTAAATAATTTTTTAAAATATAAATTAGCCAGATTTGAAACTGACCATCTTACACCAAAATCTAACTTAGTTCCTTTTTACCAAAACTGAAAAGCAACAAGTACGTCAGATAGCCTTTAATAGCTGTACAAAAGACAACAAAATGTAACTATTGCTAGGAAAATATTTTTTAAATAATATGGATAAAGCAATTAAATCATGTTTTGCATATAATTCCCACACCCATGGAGAAGGGCAACCAGGATAAAGAAAGAAATTGACCACTCTCTAGTTTTCCCATATATGTAGAAAGGTTGGAAATAGTAGGTGCTCATTAATATTTGTTTTAATTAAATGAGTTTAGAAGGCACTGCTCAATTGTTAGTAGTTAAAATCTTTTGTAATCCCTGAGGTAATGAAATGTTGTAAAATTTCTTGTGAATGGATCTAGAAGTAGTGTAATGAATTTTTCTTTATAAATGATGTGTTTTTATGCCAAATATTCAGTCAAAATCAACTTGAAAAGATATTTGATATGTTAAAATATCTTATTTGACATTGTTCACCTGATTGTATTTAGTTTTTTTTTTTTTATAGTAAAAGTTAGGAACTTTATTTTTACCAATGTAGTAGTAAATAAAGAGTAAGAAAGTATATATGGCAAATCACCCTTTTTATTCTGATTGAATATTGGGCAGTTCAAAAACACAGATTGCTAATTATGATTGATAACTATTAACTATTTATTCTTGGAGAATTAATTTTCCTCTTGCAGAACTCAGTTTCTTGGTCTACCATATGATTAACACTGGACTAAATCAGTGATGGCTTTACCATACAATTTTATAAACCAGTAAAATTTTAAAAAGAAGAAAAATGGGAGTGGAGCACTGTGTTAATCAATTTTTTTATTACCAAGGAAGGACATTAAATATACAAAACTCTAACTTCCCAACCTCGATATAATTTAAAGAAATAAACTTATTTTGATACAAAAATAGTAATTAAGACATAGTTCTGGGGGCGCCTGGGTGGCGCAGTCGGTTAAGCGTCCGACTTCAGCCAGGTCACGATCTCGCGGTCCGTGAGTTCGAGCCCCGCGTCAGGCTCTGGGCTGATGGCTCGGAGCCTGGAGCCTGTTTCCGATTCTGTGTCTCCCACTCTCTCTGCCCCTCCCCCGTTCATGCTCTGTCTCTCTCTGTCCCAAAAATAAATAAAAAAAAAAAAAAAACCGTTGAAAAAAAAATTAAAAAAAAAAAAAAAGACATAGTTCTGTATCAAAGGGGAAATGATACTTGGCTACAAAACAGTAGTAACAACAAGACAGGTATTAAGTTTCAACTGGATGAAACAATCTTTCAGGTGCTGTGCATCTCTCATGTTTATAAAATCTATGAGGACCTAGGACTGTGGTCCAAGATGTTTGTTATTTTTTTTTAAGTTGAAGTCAGTCAAGTAACTGGCTATTTTGTAAATTAGGTTCACCTGAAGCGACTGGTTGACTCACAGCTACTTATTTTTATACAGCTACAAAGACAAAAGGTATACACACACACACAATCACACAGTTTTAGCAGTGCAGACATAGCCTTATACTTGGATCATTTATGACAGTTAGCTGTTTTCTAGAATATATGCACTTTGGAATCTACCTTTTCAGAACAAAGATTCCAGAATTTAAATCGGAAGGAGATTAAGAGATTGTTCACTTGCATATTCTTATTTAACTTGAAAGAAAAAAAAGACTTAAAATTATTTGTTCAATGTAAAAAACTAATTACTGGCAACAATGGACTATAACATAAAAATCCTGATACCTTATTTAATATATGAACCATATCCTCATACACCTGTGTGTCAAATTATTCATGAGTGCCAACAGACACATCTTGCAAGGATTTCCAAATATATTTTATCTAAGATGTATTAAATGTTTAAATGTAGACATTTTATATTAAAAAAAATTAAATTTTAGGGCACTTTACCATATAGGGACAACTGATTTAGAGGCTTAATGGAAATTTATCTTGCTTAGATTATATCAGGAGAATTGTAACATACATTCCATTAGGTTGATTCATATGACATGTTACTAAGGATGATAATAATGGCGATAGTTCAGGAAGTTTAATGAATATGAATAAACAACAAAGGTCATAGGTACCCATAATTATGCTTCTTGACGGATAGGAAATATAAGATATCCCTATAGACATTTTGAAAAACTCTATTAAAAAGTGTGTTTTCCTTTGTCACTTACCTCGTTGTTTGCCTCTTGAGTAAATTTAACTGACACTTTATTTCCATTATATATGAGATTAACCTCATTAACAGAAGTCTTTCCTTTCCCCCATATGTTGATGAATCCAAGCCTCATTTCATTTTTGTTTATGTAACCATTTTTCAATATAGTGCTTGTCAAGGTATTCTATAAAGTCACAGAAAAAGAAGTAATATAAACCCTTCATTTTCAAAAGCAATTAAATCTTTTAAAATCTATGTCTGTTAACTACAGTGGATTTCATAGTATAGCAAATTATTTACTCACATATTTGAAATGAGATACATTATACAACAAATATGAAATATGAAAATATAAATAAGTATAAAATCTGGCATAAGATTTCAAATATTATTTAACACAATTGCATACAAATGATCTGGCATGAATACATACCTTGTTCAAATTAAACTGTACCAGGAAATATAAGTCTCTTTCATAGGTGTCTGTAGAGAGAAAAAAAGGTAATATATTTATATTTCCAAAGAAGAAAAATAGTAAAAACTAGTATATCTTGCTTCTCTTTCCCAGTATAAAGGGTATCAAATACCATCGACACATATCAAATTTTTCTCTAAGTTTACTGAACTTTTTCAAATATAGTCCAAGAAGGACTAAGATATGAAGGATGAGTCTCATCAGAGAGGGCTATAGAAGGCCAGGAGTGTGTGTATCTGTATGTAGGAGGGTAACACTAAAGGGTGACAGGTCTAAAATCACTTTAAACACCTCTGGGAGGGTGAAAGAAGTAAAAGAATTAACAGAATTGGGTGGTGATAGTGGTGGACACTTATGGGCCACTTCAATGACTGACAACATAATAATATGTATAAAGGCAAATGAATATGATGGTAACGTATTCTAGTGTCATTTGAGAAAAATATTCAGTTGTTAGAGACTATTATAGGTCTACTGAAATACAAATAATAAAACAGGGTTTATATCCATGTTCATCAAAATATAATCTTGCCATATTAAAATCAATTTTTAAAATAATTTCACAGCTTAAATTAAGTACTATTCGTCAAACTTTAAGTACTTTATCACATTGCTCTAAGATAAGTTATTTTATTATTCTTATGGTTGAAGAGGAATGTGAGTCCCAGAGAAGTTAAATAAATGGCTGAAAGTAAATGAACTAATTATTAACAAAAGCTGGAAACAAGTCTAGATTTCCCTGAATTCTAAGATTGTGTTTAGAGGTAAAACTAAACAAGCATGGGTAAGACAGAAAGGCGAAAGTGGAGACAAATACATGACTGAAACAAAATAACATTGAGGGGTGCCTGGGTGGCTCTGTAGGTTAAGCATCCGACTCTTGACCTGGGCTCAGGTCATGATCTCATGTTTATGAGTCTGAGCTCCACTCTGGGTTCTGTAGTGACAGCATGGGAGCCTGCATGGGATCCTGTCTCTTCCTCTCTCTGCTCCTCCCCCCAGGTGCACATGTGAGTGCATGCACCTTCTCTCTCTCTCAAAATAAATAAATAAACTTAAAAAAAAAAAAACATTGAAAAAGTAACAAATTTTAATTTCCTCTTCCAACTTATAAATGCCGGCATTAGATTAAATAATTCTCTGAAAATTAGTTTGCAATTAATTTTTCCTACACTAAAATTAAATTATGTTCTGCCTAAAACATTTTTTCTATATGTACCAATGTATGCATGGCTTATTTGATATGTGTTCTGAGGCAAAAATTTTAGTCTTAACTTTTAACTATACAAATATAGCATAAGTTTTTAAGACCAATTGTTTATAGAACCATGAGGTAAAAGAACACAGAAGTGATAACTATTAGGAAGATATGGGCAGTTTTGTTGTTTTTCATAAATAAGAAAAAAATACCACATATGATGTTAGTCAAGAGTACACATACATCTATTTCATTAAGATAAGTAGGACAGTGGTGGCTGGGTGGCTCAGTCACTTAAGCATCCAACTCTTGAGTTCAGCTCAAGTCATGATCTCACAGTTCGTGAGATCGAGCCCCCTGTCCAGCTCTGCATTGACAGTGAAGAGCCTGCTTGGACTCTCTCCCCACTCCCTGTGCACCTTCCTCACGTGCACTCTATTAAAATAATAAATAAACATTTTTAAAAAAAGATAAGTAGGACAAAATAAGATTTTACTAATCTACAACTTTATTAGTTAGCATGGTCAAAATTTACTTAATATACACGAGTTTAAAGATAGGTTTACAAAAGTCCCCCTTTATGTGTAGGGGGTACATTCTAAGATGCCCCCCCAGTGGATGTCAGAAACCTCAGACAGTACCAAACCCTGTATATACTCTGCTTTTTTTTTTTTATAAAAGACTCACCTCTGATATAGCTTAATTTATAAATTAAGAACAGTAATAGATGAACAGTAACTAAAAATAGAACAATTATAACAATATGGTGTAATAATAAAAGTTATGTGAATGTGTTCTCTCACTCTCAAAATGCCTTATTGTGTTATATTCATCTTTGCTGTGACAATGTGAGATGAAAAATGCCTACATGATGAAATGATCATTTCAGAAGTAGGATCATTTGCTTCGGGACCACGGTTGACTGTGGGTAACCAAAATGGCAGAAAGCAAAACCATGGAAAAGGAGGAAATGCTGTATTTTATCTTTGATTTTCTTTGAGGTAAAAAATATATATCAGCAAAAAATAATACATTATAAAATGTGAATGTACTTAAAGGAGGAAAAAAATTAGTGTCTATCAACTAGATTGATGAGTTTGCTGTGAGAGAAAACTTCTTTGGAGATTCTGATCCACTAAATCCAAGCACTCTAAGCATCTGTTGTGTATTGTTGTTGCTGTTTACTCAAGAAATGTCAAGGGATTATCCGAAATCTTTGTACTTTAAATACTGAGATTGTGCAATATAACCAAAAAACGCTAAATACAATTAGCCAAAATAATTTTGTATGTTTATATAGAGGGATCAAGAAATAAATATCTGAATTATGTTACTTTTCAGTAATTAAAAAAACCTGCCATGAAACTTTAATAGGATAAAGGTCATATCAACTTCTTTCATCTATATCTTAGTTTGGTAAGTAGAGCTACAGAAAAATTTCTAAGGGGCACGTTGTCTCTTTTGCTGTTCAAAGGAATTAACTTAATTTGTTAGATAGTTAAATTCAAAGATTCCAAGACAAGGTTTAAATTATGCACTACTCAACTTTACAACCCTGGGAAGCTGTAGGCAAATTCAAAGTACAACCTGCTGGACCCAGGTGAGAAAGGCTGCAAACTTAGTACAAACCCTCTTTTTGTGTTAATAAAGGTCAGGACTCTAAAAACAGGATTTTAACTAATAGTGGTCGATTCTTCACCTTAAATCACAAAATACTAGGAAAGGTTTTTTTTAAGAGTCTTGATTATTACAATATGATTCTTATATTAATCTTCTGATGTACTTTATTTACTAATAAATAATTCTTGTTGTTAATATTGAAAAATATTAACTATGATTCACCTAAAAAGATACAAGGTAAATGTCTTTGCTAGTACTGAAAGATCTCTCTTCCACAGATAATTTAATTAGATTGCAATGAACTGCTCCATGAGAACAATGACTCACCCAGATATTAGTTTTTATGTGGATTGTGTTATGTGAATATTCAGATTTCCCATCTAGTAGAGTTGGCATTATTAATGACAGTCAATAAACCTAATCCACAATGAGTGTTTAATTAACAGCATAATCATCACCTGAAGGTGATACCTGGCCTCTCCCCAAATTAATGGAAATTAAGTGGTCCTCAGAATTTGCATTTTTAATAGCCTACTGCAAGTGCTTCAGAGGACAATGGTCAGCAAAACACACATTGCTGGAAGCTTGGCGGTTCAGTCTGGTTTTAAGAAATAGTCATAAACATAGATCTAAGTTTAAATCTTTAAAGTTTTCATGTAAAAATATTGAATACAAAAAAATAGCCATGAAATACAAAATCAAACTTGAGTTTTGTTTCTAGACTATGTCAGGTTTTAGTGGCATCCTTTATGCATCACCATGTACACATGGAACATGGCTTTTCAGCTGGGCAGACCTCATACATATGGAATGTCTATCATGAATGGCATGGGCTAACTTCCAGGAGTAAAAGATGATCCATATACAATCTCTGTGCACACACATCTCTTAGATATGCAGATATTTACCATAGGGATCAACTATATTTAGGATAAGAGAAAAGTCTTTAATGTTCGTAACACTAAGTTTTTAAGTTGGTTCAGCTAATTATTAAATGATTTCAGCTTTGTATAATATTATTAGCTTCCATTCAGCCTCCAAAGTACAGTAGTAGATACATAAAACTAATGTGACATATATGTATGTCAGCAATTACATTTTTCAACTAAATGGAACACTCACCTATACTCTCTCCATCATCCCAAAACAGAGATCCCTGTGCCATCTGATTAGCATCTGCGGCAACAATGAGCTTCATGTAGTTTTGTCGACTAAAAAAAAAAAAAGACATAATTTTAACCAATGTTTATACAGTAGCATATGTTTAGTTATGATATGGCATCCACATAAGTATCCAAACGAAAACAAAGATGATTATCAACTAAGGAGAATACAAACTGTTTTAGACCAATAAAATTAAAGGACTTTCCTTTTGTGATGAGTTACTGGGAACGATATAAACCATAAAATCCTTCACATTTAATAGAAAATATCATGCATGTCTTTTGATCTATTGTAACAAATTGAAAGGAGCCTCACTTATAATAGTTATAACCGTGTTAAATTTATTGATATATTTATTTATTTTTCTCTCTGCTAATCCTGTCACTGACCATTAGACATGAAACTATATTAATAGCAATTTTTATTTATTATCATTTAAACCTTCTTCACATTTCCATACATAAATCACTGAAATATCATTGGAAATTATTAACAAGAATGTGAAGAGTAGTATGAAAATTTTAAGTTCTATTCTTGAAATGGGCAATCCCTCCCAAGCTTGTGCCTGCATAGGCCCATTTATGAACTAAATATCTGCTTCCATGCTCACTGTACAAGTGATTTCATTTGATAGCTTCATATTGCTAAGGAAGGATTTCTCAGACAGTTACACTTAGGCATAATTATCTTTTCCAATCACAAATGTTGAAGGTTGTACTGCCATGGAAATTCCCTAAAATATCCAAAACATCTAGCGTTCAAATCTCTACAGCAACTTAATATTTTCCATGTAAAGATGTTAACATGTCTTAGCATGAATTTATATACATATATATACATAATTTAAATTTTAGTTAGTTAACATATAGTACTATAGTTAATATTGTTAAGTTGTTTATATATAGTTATATTGTTATAACTATATATGGAGTTACATTGTTAACTATATATTTTATTGTATGTTAACTAAAATTTAAATTAAAAAAAAGGGAAAAATATTAAAAATGCATGTTTTTAAAGCAAACAGTATTGGAAGATAGGGCAGTGTTCTTTTTAAATTAATTAAAGAAATTTTACTGCCCAGGGCGCCTGCATGGCTCAGTTGGTTAAGTGTCCCACTCCTCATTTTGGCTCAGGTCAAGATCTCACCATTTGTGACATCAAGCCCTGTGTTGGGTTCTGGGCTGACAGCGCAGAACCTGTGTGGGTCCCTCTCTCTCTCTCTCTTTCTCTCTCTCTCTCTCTCTCACTCTCTCTGTCTCTTTCTCACACACACACGCGCGCGCGCGCGCGCACACACACACACACACACACACACACACACACAAAATAAATAAACTTAAAAAAATTTACTGGCCAGTATAATAACAAAGGTAAAGTCTCCCTTGGAAGCAAACAATGAACATGCTTGCTTGCAGCCCATTATAAAAGATTGCCTAGGTTTGGATTCCTTAGCTGTGGCACAAACCTCCTACATGTGTAGCACCTGCCTCAGCATAGGCCACTCCATGTCATCCCCATGGAACTCTGGGGGCAAAGAAAAAAGCAAACATGAAGTTTGTGTCTCTTGTTATGCCTTGAGTAAAACAGACCTTTGTGTCCTACCTAAAATTCATGACACCGTGGCAGACTAACTTACAAAGTAATTTGTAAGCTTTGAAGTAGGGTAAAATCTCAGACCCCTTCCCAGTTCTTGACAATTCTGACATGATGTATCCAAAATTTAATCTGAGCTCTGTAAACACTTCACTTACCTGTAAAATGTGTTTAAACCAGGCTCTTGACATGGTAGAATGTGACCACCACGGACATGTAGGTTTATTTTATATAAAGGAGCTTCAAATTCATTAAATTTTCCTCTGACACCAATATCTTGGCCCTGGAAATGAGATGGTTGGAAGGAAAGAACACAAGCAATAAGAAATAGAATCATCAGCAATATTGGTGCTTGAGAGGTTGCATTTTATAAATCAAATGATATACTTAATTTATAAATTAATAAAAACTCAAATACTTATTCAGGAAATCATATTGTTTAAAGCATGTACTTCTTAATTATTAATAGCTTTGAAAATAATTTACCACTATTTGTTTTTGTGATGCTCACATGAAGAAAATGTGTGGGTTTTGAAAAGTCACAAAAGTTATTCCTGACTTTTCACATACATTATTCTTGGAAGGACTACATCACCTTTAATTATAATTTCATATATTCAATAAAGGGCAATGAACTTTTTGTGTATAATGTGCACTCTCTATGCTTATTCAGTAAAATAAATCAATGTCTACACAACAAACAATGGGGCATAAATTAACTCTCTTTCACTGTGTGTTAATTTGATTCAGCTGTAATTAGCAAGAACTATATTACTCTTTTTAAATGTAAAGTAGACCAAATATGTCCCTAAAGAAAAGGCTTGGATCAAATTGTTACTCATTTCCACTTTGGCAATGCCCTAGAATCCTTAACTACTTACCGTATGATAATCAAACCACCGAGCATCAGGGACGTAGCCTGCTACAGTGTCCCTATACTGGAATTTAAAGATATAATCATTGAAAACATATAAACCAAATACAAAACTATTTTGTGAACAAAAATGTATGATAGAACTTACAGGTTGCAGTACAGGGGTAACCATAAACGCTGGACCCCACAAGAACTGCTTGAATATATCCCAGGTTAGCTTGTCATTAAAGAACCTTGACAAAATATTCACAAATAAGTAAATCTGAATATCATAAAATAATTATTCAAATCACATTTTGCAGTATAGACTTATGTGGACTGAAATGAAAACCAAACTATAAACAAATCAAAAACAATTCTATCAGTTAGGATTTAATGTGCAGTAATTAACACACTATTTTATGAGTAAATCTAGATTATAACTAAATTTACTTCAAAATGCAGAGAATGTCTATAAGACCAGCTGAATGAGAAACCTCTGAAGAGAACTCATAGAGGTACAAATATTAACTGTGCCTCATAAAAGATCAACAAACTAGGAAGCAAAAGTTGTAAGTACTCTGGATGAGAATTGTTAAACAGGTGTGCTCTAAGAACCTTGATTTGGTAATTCAAAAAGATTTTGCTTATCCTACTTAAAGCTCACTGAATGGTGCATTTAACTTAATATATTTCTGAATTTCAGAAACAAATGGTTGGAAACACCAGAATCTGTTTTTCATAGTTTGAGAATAGTCACTATTAAATAACCACATTTTTTCTCTAATTGAAATGGAATTGCACATTTTTGTTTGTTCTTTTGTTTTTGTATTGCTTTGTTGTACTATAAACTGAGATGAATGCCAAATGGGACTCTGAATTTACTCCTTCATGGACTTCCCATGGGAACAAAGGCCCAGATGTTCTCAACAGGACAAAAGTCTGCATAGTTAATAATAATGTTTCTGGTTGGGGACTCAGTCCAGAGCTGATAATTTGACTCTGCTGGGAAGTAAATAGGGAGAACACAAGAGGGGAAAGTCTGGAAATAAGAGAGGCAAGATATTAATAAAATTTTATCAAAAATAAAGAATGGATTATGGTAGATAAATTAATAAAGTAACTAGAGGCTGATATGAATCTAGGAATACCTATTATTTTTTAAAACCCTATTCTGAGAACAGAAGGCATACTGATCAACTTATTATTTTGTCATTTTGCCTTGTGTATTATTATTTATTTTAGTAAACATGTGCCGTATATTTTTACTGAGTTATCAGTTGTGCAGTCTAACAAATCACCTCACTCAATTACTCTGGTAATATAAGGTACATAAGAAGTTAAGTATGATTATTTCAAAGGTTTTTTGTACTACTTTTAATTGTGTTGTTTTTGTGACATCAGCAAACAGAATTGTCTTGTATTTGCCTTAAAAATAGAACAGGCTAAAATTTATGCAACTATGCTCCATAGAATAGAATTTCAAGATTTAATCATGTATCAGTTTGAGCTTTAAGAAGTGAATCCTAGGGCACCTGGGTGGCTTAGTCGGTTAAGTGTATGACTTTGGCTCAGGTCATGATCTCATTGGCCAGGAGTTCGAGCCCTACATCAGGCTCTGTGCTGACAGCTCAGAGCCTGGAGCCTGCTTTAGATTCTGTGTCTCCCTCTCTCTGCCCCTCCCCCTGTTCACCCTCTGTCTCTTTCTCTCTTCCTCAAAAATAAATAAACATTAAAAAATATAAGAAGAAGTGAATCCAAAACAATTTTCTAGGGAGAATGTTAGAACTGTTCTAGGGTATTCTATAATACACCTCCAAGATGAGGTGAGATGGTTTTCTTCAGTAAGGTATATATATGGTAGATTTAATTAATTGCTCTAAACTTCAGTTAATCAAAGCATAATATAAAGATAATATTACTTGCCTCCATTTTTAAAAGTCAATACAATAAGTATGTAAATCTAAATTAACTCTAGGTGTACAGTAGTTATTTCTAAGAATTATTACTTTTTAATAACTGATTAATGTTTCATTTTTAATAACATCCTGATTATCAATAGACTTATTTATGTAAATGTTTATTAACTGAAAATATATACTAAAATAACAATGAAAAAGTTTCCAGTTTCAAATATTCTATACTATGAGAGATTACTGAGTAAATTAAATGAAACCCATTTCTTTTTGGCAGGAAATAATATGTGCACTTACTCATGCAAAAGGGGTCGAATAACAGTGCCACCATGAGCATGAATTTCATGCATCTGTGTATAGAAATAGGGTAATAAAGTGTATCTAATATTTAGAATATTCTTTGACATTTCAGAAAAAGTTTCATTCCAGGAAGCAGGATCTTGTCTCTGAAACAAAGCAGAATGAAATAGTCATAAGCATTTGTCCTGGTTTAAATCATAATTTTCAGATACATATATAGAGAATGAAAACTAGAAAATAATATTCATTCATTGCCATGTGTTATATACTTTCTTACCAAAAACCTTATGCAATAATATTACTATCATATGATGGAGAAAGAACATAATATTACTATTTCAATATGAAAAATGCAAATTATACCCATAGCTTGATTTAGTTTAGGTGAACATATGTAAAGAACAGTTCAATTTGAATAGATGACAACATAATGATAATCAGGGTGAAAAGACTAGAAAATAAATGAAATGCTGTATAAAAGTGGGTTGAAACAGGGGTGCCTGACTGGTTCAGTGGGTTAAGCATCTGCATCTGCACAGAACCTGCTTAGGATCCTCTGTCTCCTCTCTCTGCCCCTCTCCGGTTTGTGCTATCTCTCTCTCTCTTAAAAATAAACATTAACAAATTTTTAAAAAGTGGATTGGAATAAACAGAGATACCCAGAACCTATCATGGTGACCCCCACATTATGTGTTCTCCTGAGAAATGGATAAGTTATGATATTAAAGAATTAAGATAGCAGAAAGAAAGGACATAATTAATGCTGGATAAGGAAGAACAACATGCCCAGATACACTCTGGAATACACACTCCAGGTAAAAAGACTAAAGTTGATACTGGAAAGATTAAAAGCCTGTTAAGAAATGTTGTTGCACTTACTGGTCAAAAAATAATAGTGAAGGTGATTAGCATTTTATATTTTAATGTGTGCTGGGGAACAAACAAGGCTGCCATATAACTCTAGGGGGCAATATGTTTATGTTTTTCAACAGACAGAGAGGGTCCTTAAGAGCTGGCCATATCTATGAAGATTCCAACTTTTTTAGATTTCAGTAAGCTTGATGTAGATTAATGAGCTTTAGATTAGAAAGCTTGAATGATGACTGGGTGTTTGTATATGTAAAAATGTTAGAAGAGGCAAAACCTTGAAAGTAAAAAGGTCGAAGAATTAAGCTATAAGATTCTATCCTTACTAGTTCCAAAGTCAAGTAAGAAAGACGCAAAGATCCTATCTGTTGCTTGCTGACTTAACTGATGTTATTTTAGTTTTAACAAGCTGATATACAAGCATTTAAGTCTAAACTATACATTAAAAAAAAGTTAATGTTTATTTATTTTTGAAGGTGAGACAGAGCATTAGTGGGGGGGAGGGACAGAGAGTGAGTTAGAGACACGGAATCTGAAGCAGGCTCCAGGCTCCAGGATGCGAGCGGTCAGCACAGAGCCCGACATGGGGCTCAAACTCGCAAGCGGTGAGATCATGACCTGAGCTGAAGTCGGGTTAACCGACTGAGCCACCCAGATGCCCCTAACCATGAATTCTAAATTTAATTGTACTACCTCAAAATTAAACTTAAGTTGAGCTTTCTGTTCTGCAGATTTTTATTGAGAAATACTTCTTCAGTCTTTTTCTCCTCCTCTATTTCATCTTCTCCAAAATTCCATCTTGGAGTCTTTCACTGACTCCGTCTGTCTGAAATTCTCCCTGCCCCCCATATCCTTATATTGCTTTTGGTTTTTGTGCCCCACTAAAGTCTCCACTCTAATGCTTAAGTCACTTTATCCAAGAGGGACCTTCATAGGTACCCCTTCTAAAACAGAATCCCCCAAATTGCTGTCACTTTAGCTTGCACTATCTTTTCTTTATATGCATTTATTTATACCTGATTATACATATATATACATACACACACACATAATTGCCTATTATCTCTATCCTGCCTACAATTTATGAATCTTAGAGCAGGGACATTGTAAATATTACATAGTGGCCTCCTAATAAATACTTATTGAATAAATCCCTGTCCAGGCTTTTGATTCATCCCACTCTTCCAATATTACAGCTTTCTAAATTGCATTACTGACAGTAAGTTTTCCTGTTAAAATATTCCTATTTCATCAAGTTATGTTGTTATTGCCCAACTTTCAAATTCTTCCAAAATGTGGTCCCATACTGCCTTCTATCCTTGTATAGATTTTTATTTACTAAAATAAATCTCCTCTATTCTAACTAAAATTTCCCAGGAGGGACACAAAGATTTCACAGCACCTGATGAGATTCACCATTCAGTTACTGCTGCTAGAACCCATCCTTCAAAGAGCAGCTCTGTCTACAACTCTTCCACGAGTTACTTTTGATAATTCATCTTTCCCCTGCACTTCTTCACTAAAGTCAATATCACAAAATTAAGCTCTTAGATATTGCCTTTAATTGTTCATACTTTTCCATAATTTGTAATACTGTCACCCCTCTTATTCAAACATTTCCTTCAGACAATTTAGTAAAGTGCAGAATTGTGCCACCACACAAGAATTAGCTCTTAATTCCCTCTTCCTTTTTTTCTCAAATTTTCAACTCATTGTCTTAACATTTGCCTTTTAAATCTGCTCATTTTCATGCACTGATACTAGTATTTCCAAGGAGTTTTCATTTGTAATTTACTTTGAAGCTGATTTTTTCTATTGTTCTGTCTCAGTTTGGAAGAAGTTACATACAGAAGCAGTTTTTTTTTTCCCCTCCCTGGCTATTCTAAAAGTATATGCAACAGCAGTAAGTATGCCAGCTAACCAAGTTCTAAACCCTAAAGTAGAAAGAAGAGTAACCCAAATCAGAAAATTCTCAAAGTGATGGGCTCTGATGTCCTCAGTAAATGTGAAGAAGTTCATTCAAAGCAAGCGCTAGAAATCAGCCAGGCAGGAGGAGTTCTATTCAAAACTTCTAAGGTTAGGAGGAAAGGAATGAAAGCACATGCAGTCATTACATACCCTAGTAAATGCAATGTTGTGATTTCTTGAGTATGGGTAAAATGCTCCAAGTTGCATCCAGCGGGCACAGAGCTCATACTCTGAGTTGTTGAAGAAACCACAGATATCTGCACCAGTCTAAAATATATTGTTACATTTAATATCAATGTTTTTTCTTAAAATTTATAAGTTATGAAGATAAAAGAAATACAGTTACTTACATATGAGATTCCAAAGAGACTAAATTCCATCATACCTAAAAAAAATCAGGAAAAATTTAGAAAGATACTACATCATATATTTTGATATTTGATGATTTGATTTGTTAAGATGTTCCATTTCTAATAACCTCTAAACTAATGAGACATTTTTCAGATTTTTAATACACCTATCATTTCCTCTTAAAATATTCATGCTGTTATAATGTTAATGATGTAAAAATAAGACACTATGCTTCTTTGTCACTTTCAAGATGGTATATTTAGAGCACAAAATAGGTATAAATACATTATAGCATGAGAATAAAATGGCAGTGTTTCTGTCTCAGTTTGGAAGAAGTTACGGAAGCAGTTTCATTTTTAATATTAATTTTATTTTTTTAATTTTATTTGTTTGTTTATTTATTTATTTTGAGAGAGAGAGAGAGAGACCATGAGAAGGGGAGGGACAGAGAGAGAGAGGGAGGGAGGGAGAGAATCTCAAGCAGGCTCTGCACTGTCAGCGCAGAGCTCAACGTCAGACTCAAAGTTGGG